CCCAACACCATTTGTTAAACAGGGAATCCTTTCCCCATTGCTTGTTTTGTCAGGTTTATCAAAGATTGTATGCTTGTAGATATGTTGTGTTGCCTCCGATGCCTCTGTTTTGTTCTATTGGTCTATGTCTCTGTTTTGGTACCAGTACCATGCTGTTTTGATTACTGTACCCTTGTAGTATAGTTTGAAATCCAGTAGTGTGATGTCCCCCGCTGTGTTCTTTTTTCTTAGAATTGACTTGGCTATGCAGGCTCTCTTTTGGTTCCATATGAAGTTCATGGTGGTTTTTTCCAGTTCTGTGAAGAAAGTCAATGGTAGCTTGATGGGGATAGCGTTGATTCTGTAAATTACTTTGGGCAGTATAGCCATGTTCACGATATTAATTCTTCCTAATCATGAACATGGTATGTTTCTCCATCTGTTTGTGTCCTCTTTTATTTCGTTGAGCAGTGGTTTGTAGTTTTCCTTGAAGAGGTCCCTTACGTTCCTTGTGAGTTGTATTCCTAGGTATTTTATTCTTTTTGTAGCAATTGTGAATGGCAGTTCGTTCTTGATTTGGCTTTCTTTAAGTCTGTTATTGGTGTAGAGAAATGCTTGTGATTTTTGCACATTGATTTTATATCCTGAGACTTGCTGAAGTTGCTTATCAGTTTCAGGAGTTTTTGGGCTGAGGTGATGGGGTCTTCTAGGTATACTATCATGTCGTCTGCAAGTAGAGACAATTTGGCTTTCACCTTTCCTATTTGAATACCCTTTATTTCTTTCTCTTGCCTGATTGCTCTGGCTAGAACTTCCCGTACTATATTGAATAGGAGTGGTGACAGAGGGCATCCTTGTCTAGTCCCGGATTTCAAAGGGAATGCTTCCAGTTTTTGCCCATTCAGTATGATATTGGCTGTTGGTTTGTCATAAATAGCTTTTATTACTTTGAGATACGTTCCATCGATACCGAGTTTATTGAGGATTTTTAGCATAAAGGGCTGTTGAATTTTGTCGAGTGCCTTCTCTGCGTCAATTGAGATAATCATGTGGTTTTTGTTTTTGGTTCTGTTTATGTGGTGAATTACATTTATAGACTTGCGTATGTTGAACCAGCCTTGCATCCCCACGATGAATCCTACTTGATCATGATGGATAAGTTTTTTGATTTGCTGTTGCAATCAGCTTGCCAATATTTTATTGAAGATTTTTGTGTGTATGTTCATCATGAATATTGACCTGAAGTTTTCTTTTCTTGTTGGGTCTCTGCTGGGTTTTGGTATCAGGATGATGTTGGTCTCATAAAATGATTTGGGAAGGATTCCCTCTTTTTGGATTATTTGGAATAGTTTCAGAAGGAATGGTACCAGCTCCTCTTTGCGTGTCTGGTAGAATTCGGTTGTGAACCCATCTGGACCTGGGCTTTTTTTGGGTGGTAGGCTCTTAATTGCTGCCTTGACTTCTGACCTTGTTATTGGTCTATTCATAGTTTCAGCTTCCTCCTGGTTTAGGCTGGGAGGACACAGGAGTCCAGGAATTTATCCATTTCTTCCAGGTTTACTAGTTTATGTGCATAGAGTTGTTTGTAATATTCTCTGATGATGGTTTGAATTTCTGTGGAATCTGTGGTGATTTCCCCTTTATCATTTTTTATTGCATCTATTTGGTTGTTGTCTCTTTTCTTTTTAATCAATCTGGCTAGTGGTCTGTCTATTTTGTTGATCTTTTCAAAAAAACCAGCTCTTGGATTTATTGATTTTTTTGAAGGGTTTTTCGTGTCTCTATCTCCTTCAGTTCAGCTCTGATCTTAGTTATTTCTTGTCTTCTGCTGGGTTTTGAGTTTTGTTGATCTTGCTCCTCTAGCTCTTTCAATTTTGATGATAGGGTGTCAATTTTGGAGATCTCCATTCTCCTCGTATGAACACTTATTGCTATATATTTTCCTCTAGAGACTGCTTTAAATGTGTCCCAGAGATTCTGGCATGTTGTGTCTTTGTTCTCATTGGTTTCGAAGAACTTATTTCTGCCTTAATTTCATTGTTTACCCAGTCAACATTCAAGAGCCAGTTGTTTGGTTTCCATGAAGCTGTGTGGTTCTGGGTTGGTTTCTGAATTCTGAGTTCTAACTTGATTGCACTATGGTCTGAGAGACTGTTTATTATGATTTCAGTTGTTTTGCATTTGCTGAGGAGTGCTTTACTTCCAATTATGTGGTCAATTTTAGAGTAGGTGTGATGTGGTGCTGAGAAGAATGTATATTCTGTGGATTTGGGGTGGAGAGTTCTGTAAATGTCTATCAGGTTTGCTTGCTCCAGGTCTGAGTTCAAGCCCTGGATATCCTTGTTGATTTTCTGTCTGGTTGATCTGTCTAATATTGACAGTGGAGTGTTAAAGTCTCCCACTATTACTGTGTAGGAGTCTAAGTCTCTTTGTAAGTCATTAAAAACTTGCCTTATGTATCTGGGTGCTCCTGTATTGGGTCCATATATGTTTAGGATCATTAGCTCTTCTTGTTGTATCCATCCTTTTACCATTATGTAATGGCCTTCTTTGTCTCTTTTGATCTTTGTTGCTTTAAAGTCTATTTTATCAGAGACAAGAATTGCAACTCCTGCTTTTTTTTTGCTCTCCATTTTCTTGGTAATCTTCCTCCATCCCTTTATTTTGAGCCTTTGTGTATCCTTGCATGTGAGATGGGTTTCCTGGATACAGCACACTGATGGGTTTTGGATTTTTATAAAATTTGCCAGTCTGTGTCTTTTGATTGGTGCATTTAGTCCATTTACATTTAGGGTTAATATTGTTATGTGTGAATTTGATACTGCCATTTTGATGCTAGCTGGCTGTTTTGCCCGTTAGTTGTTGTAGATTCTTCATTATGTTGATGCTCTTTAGCATTTGGTGTGATTTTGGAATGGCTGGTACTGGTTGTTCCTTTCTATGTGTAGTGCCTCTTTCAGGAGCTCTTGTAAAGCAGGCCTGGTGGTGACAAAATCTCTGAGTACTTGCTTGTTCGCAAAGGATTTTATTTTTCCTTCACTTATGAAGCTTAGTTTGGCTGGATATTAAATTCTGGGTTGAAAGTTCTTTTCTTTAAGGATGTTGAATATTGGCCCCCACTCTCTTGTGGCTTGTAGTGTTTCTGCCGAGAGATCTGTTGTGAGTCTGATGGGCTTCCCTTTGTGGGTGACCTTTCTCTCTGGCTGCCCTTAGCATTTTCTCCTTCATTTCAACTCTGGTGAATCTGATGATTATGTGCCTTGGGGTTGCTCTTCTTGCAGAATATCTTTGTGGTGTTCTCTGTATTTCCTGCATTTGAGTGTTGGCCTGTCTTGCTCGGTGGGGGAAATTTTCCTGGATGATGTCCTGAAGAGTATTTTCCAGCTTGGATTCATTCTCTTCGTCCCCTTCTGGTATACCTATCAAACATAGGTTAGGTCTCTTCACATAGTCCCACATTTCTTGGAGACTTTGTTCATTCCTTTTTGCACTTTTTTCTCTGATCTTGGTTTCTCGTTTTATTTCATTGAGTTGATCTTCAACTTCTGATATTCTTTCTTCTGCTTGGTCAATTCAGCTGTTGAAACTTGTGCATGCTTCACAAAGTTCTCGTATTGTGTTTTTTAGCTGCTTTCATTCATTCATATTCCTCTCTAAGGTATCCATTCTTGTTATCATTTCCTCAAATCTTTTTTCAAGGTTCTTAGTTTCTTTGCATTGATTTAAAACATGTTCTTTTAGCTCACAAAAGTTTCTCATTATCCACCTTCTGAAGTCTAATTCTGTCATTTTGTCACAGTCATTCTCCATCCAGCTTTGTTTCTTTGCTGGTGAGGAGTTTTGGTCCTTTGTAGGAGGCAAGGTGTTCTGGTTTCGGGTGTTTTCCTCCTTTTTGCGCTGTTTTCTTCCCATCTTTGTGGATTTATCCACCTGTCGTCTGTGTAGTTGCTGACTTTTCGATTGGGTGTCTGAGTGGACACCCAGATTGTTGATGATTAAGTATTTCTGTTTCTTAGTTTTCCTTCTACCAGTCTAGCCCCTCCACTGTACGACTGCTGAGGTCCACTCCAGGCCCTGCTTGTCTGGGTTGCACCCCTAGCAGCTGCAGAACAGTGAGGGATGCTACCAGTTTCTTTTTCTGCTATCTTTGTCCAAGAATGATGTCTGCCAAATGTCAGTCTTCTGGATATAGAGGGGTCAGGGAGCTGCTTGAGGAGACAGTCTGTACTTTATAGGAGCTCAATTGCTGAGATGTGAGCTCTGTTGTTCATTCAGGGCTGTTAGGCTGCTACGTTTAATTCTGCTGCAGCAGAACTCATAAAAAAAAAACTCTTTTTTTTTCTCAGATGCTCTGTCACCGGGGGGTTGGGGCTTTCTTTGTGAGTGTCCGTTGTGCTGTCCTGCCCAGCTAGGAGGCAGTCTAGTCACTATTTGCCTTCCGAGGCTCTGCCCTGCTGGTGTGAGGTTCGCCCTGTTGCTGCAGGCTCTGCCCTTCTGCTGCGGTCTCCACCCTGCTGCCATGGGCTACACCCTGCGGCGGAGTCTCTCTGTTGTAGCGAGTTGCCTCAGCAATGGCAGGCTGTGTCAGCAATGGGCGTGTACCTCAGTAGGGGTGGATTGCCTCGGTAATGGCGGACGACCCTCCCCCACAGAGCTGCACTATACTGGGTTCAGCTGTGCCCTAAGGGAACCTCTCCACCGGGAGTGTTTGGAATCTCCATTTGTTTGTCCCACTGTGCTACCCCAAATGCTGTTTTCCTGGAATCTCCTGGGCTGGCTCACTGTCCAAGTCCCATTCAGTCTCAAGTTCAGCCCTCTCAAGTCTCAGATTGCTGGTTCAACAGGGCACCTGGACCAGTGCGCTTTGTGTGGAGCGCTGTATAGTGCCACTGTGCTATAGTGCCGGCCGCCAGCCGCACCAGCCAAAACCTCTGCCTGGTGTCCCATGTCTCTTTTATACCTGGGAATTTCCCCGTTCTGTGGGCAACAAAGATCCGTGTGGAAATGCGGCCCTGACTCACCCTCTCTGCGCATTCACCGAGAGCTTCAATCCTGGGTTGTTCTCACTGTGCCATCTTGAGTCTCCATAAGCAGTTTGGATTTTTATCTGGAAGTTAGACAGACGATGGGATGATGTCCGTAGTAGTGCATTTTCAAGTCTCTCATTGTACAGATGAGGAAACTGAGGATTAGAGAACAGAAGTAATTTGGACAGAGCTGGTATTCAAATTCACATCTTTCTACCCCCTTCACCCCACATTACTTAATATGGATTATCCCAACACCTCAGCAAATTAGGTCAGGCCAAAATGAGGTTCCGAGTTTCACTCACTGACCTGACATTTGTTTGGTTAATATCAATAGAATGCCAGTGACATATAATGCACTGTGTCACGCTGAGGAATACAGTGATTGCTATATTACCCTCTAAGCAGAAAGGATACTTTTTGGATAATTTTTAAACTTCCACAGTTAGAGATGATTATGGATTCTAGGTGCCCATCCAAAAAATATCTTTCAGGAAGAAAGTGGTAGAAGGGTTCACCCACATCATACTTTTCAGTCTGCCTCATCCTGAGAGGGCTAATGCACTCCGCCCTTCAACCCTCACCTACCCCTCACATCCAGTTGCTCCAGACAGACAGCCACAGGTGGCCTGTCATGGGAAGAGCCCCCCATGCAAACAGTATCCATGTGTATGCTAGTACACACACACTGCTTGGCTGGTGCCATCCACCCACATTGCACTCTGGTTCATGAAACTTCCCTCCTCCAGGCCCTGGTCTGCTAAGAGTGCACTGTGGGAGTGGTGCACGAGAGTCACAAACACCCCAGAACGTCTGCCTGCCCCAGGCTAATGTCCCGCTGCCACCAGAAACTCCCCAGCCTCTTCTCCCTGCATACTCAGCAATCACTCCAACCTCTGTGTCACACTTTCCCGGAGCTCCCTCTGACAAGTTGATCAGGTTGAGAGACGACACTGTCAATGGGCATACATACAAACAAAAGTGAAAAGAAAGGAAAAGTGTGGAAAAAAGCTCGGGAGGCTCCCTTGGTGCTGCAAGGACACCTTCCCAACTCCCAAGGTCGTGCGAGCAGGCTGGGAGAGGCATCCTCATTCTTCCCCTTCCCTTGATTCTTAAGTGAGCCTCCTCCGTGGGTGCCTGTGCAGCTCCCTCCTCTGTGGCGTGGGATGGGAACGGGGGAGCATCACGTTTCAGTAGGAGATTGCTTGGTAAGACAATGGCTGAGCTGATAATGCCAGCAAAGTCATGACACCAGGGACCTCTTACAATTCTAAGATCCAATCATCTTTAAAATATTACGTCTAAGATGGATTTGAACAGGGGCTATAGCAAACAATTGATCCCAGTATATTTACTGAGAGTGCAGGCACCCTGATGAAATATTAATCTGGGCTAGGGAGTTGGAGAGGGGAGGGGCTGAGAAGCATTAGACTGACCAAGTTCTTTCTAAAAATCCTTTGACAAATAAGTTTAATTAGGGAAATGTAGATGCTACTAATCTCTCTCTCTCTCTCTCTCTCTCTCTCTCTCTCTCTCCCCCCTCAACTCTCTCCCTCTCTCTCTCCCTACCTACTACCTACCTACCTACTTACTTACTTATCTATCTGTCTATCTACATCCTAGTCTTTATAAAAATTCCAAGAGTCAGCAAAATAGAAGACCTGCCTCCTTTATCAAGCCTCTCCTCAACTCTACCCATCCCCCATGCATTCTTTTCACATCTGCTAATGCCCAAACCCCATTCAAATACTGAACATTTTTCATTGGTTGCCTAGGACCTCTTTTCCTTGGGACTTGGCACCTTCCTATTTTCTGCATTTCCTCCCACATCAGTGACTTTCCTGTAACCGCCTGGAGGATCTGCAGCTTCAGTCCAGTCTGGGGAAATGTGGTACAACCCCAGGACATTCAGAGTAAGCGGCTAGGCTCTTGTATGATAATAAAGGCTTTGGAAGTGGGAGGTGAGCTGGAGTATCGAGCAATTTATCCTGGACACGTGTCTGACAGAACAGCATCAGTCCCTTACCTCCCTGCCTATAGAAGCATCAATAACATCGATAAAGCTGCTGCCTCCAGCATCAGCCTTTCAGCGTGGCCATGAGACGAAGGACAAAGAAACAGCCTCTTTCCTGGCAGAGCTGAACTTATTGCTTGTAGTTAATGGGAGGGTAGAGGAGAGGACCAACCCCATGGAAGGCTGAGAAATTCCAGTCACTGACAAGCAGGGGCATGGTCAGAGGAGCCACATGGGCCAGGGACCACTGCAGACACTGCTGGAGGAAGGGCACATGCCTAGGGCCCAATGGAGCAGCTGAACATCATCTCTGGGGAGAAGGCCCCCAGGGCAAATCCTGTTCATATTCCTAGCAAGAGGGACCACCAGTATCCGTCCAGTTAGAGGCACAGGTTTCTTTCTAAAGACATGGATGAGGATACTTGCATTCCCAATTTCGAACTTGTTTTGGAGACACTGGCCCATTGTTCCCTGGAAACTGCCATGTGCCACTCTCGCGTCTCTCTGACTTTGTTCTTTCTTTTGCCTGGAGTGCCTGGCTTTGGGAAAGATGCCTCTGCAGGCTTCTGGTTCAGGTCCAATGTCTGTGAAGCTTTACCTGACCTTTATTTTGAGACAGAGTCTTGCTCTGTTACCCAGGCTGGAGTGCAGTGGTGCAATTTCGGCTCACTGTCACCTCTGCCTTTTGGGTTCAAGCGATTCTCCTGCCTCAGCCTCCTGAGTAGTTGGAATTACAGGTGCTCTACCATGCCCAGTTAATATTTTTGTATTTCGGTAGAGACAGGGTTTCATCATGTTGGCCAGGATGGTCTCAATTTCCTGGTCTCATGATCTGCCTGCTGCCTTGGCCTCCCAGAGTGCTGGGATTATAGGCATGAGCCACCGTGCCTGGCCCTTGCTCAGCCTTCTGTAAAGTGAGCTCTTTATAACCCCTTCCTGTATTTCCACGGTACATTGTGTGGATTTCTGCACCACAAATCATCATGTTAAGTTAGAACGTTTCTTGTCTGTCTCTTCCTTGGATTGTCGTCTCCTTGAGAACAAGGGCCTCCTAGTTTTACAGCACTGGTTCCTTGTAGAGTGCCTAGCAAGTAGGTGGCGTTCACCATCGTGCCAGATGACAGAGTACTGCCTCTCATTTTCCCTCAGTCTTTGCCAGTAAGAATGTATTCTTCTATGCTAAATCAATTAATCCATTAATCAACTCTGGGTCAATGAACAAAATATTAGCTTGACAGACAGAAAAAATAAGTTCAAAAGATCTATTGTACATCATGACTATAATTAATGACAATACATTGTGTACCTGAAGATTGCTAAGAGAGTAGATTTTAAGTTTTCTTACCACCAAAAATAACTATGTGAGATAATGCACATGTTAATTAGCTTGGTTTAGCCATTCCATTTAGTACTCCCTTGGTATACATATATCGAAACATCGTGTTTATACCATAACTATATATAACTTTTTATTTGTCCATTAAAAAGATATATAAAGCACATATGTAAAAATATGAACTCAGACCATATGAAATTAGTAATATTCAACCACTTTACACCTACAAAAATGGTAATTTCTATGATTCAACCCACTCTCTGGCACAGACAAAACCTTCATAGAGGAAAGGAATAAAAGAACCAGCATTTATTGAACACAGCTTTGTGCCATTACTTTATAAATGTCATCTCATTCCATTTAATCTTCATTTACTGATGGTCCAGGAGAAAAAAATAAACACCAGAGAAACAAAATATTTAAATGCTGAGATGGGTGGTACAAGGGGACAGTGGGATGGGAAAAGAGAGAGTTGGCTCAAGAAGGCTTCACAGCCTGGAGGGCTTCAGTGAGCCACGAGGGGCCGGCCTCTTGAGGCAGTCTTGGTGGAGCCAGGCATCCCTCTCCTTTTTCCCATGACACACTCACTCCCCTTATCTCCACTATAGCACTCCTCACATGACATCCTTGCTATTAATTTACTCATCTGTTTCCATCCTCCCCTCTGGGTCAAGCCCTCAAAAGCAGGGGTCACATCTTGTTCATCTTTGTATTCCTCTGCCCAGAGCCACCTGGCAGGCACGCTGGTGTACTCGAACGTTTGCTGATGGACAAACTCAGAGAAGATCATGCAGGGAATTCCCTACAGTGAACTCAAGGACTTCTCCGAGTCAGATATGCACAAGCTCCTCAGCTTCCCCACCAGGGGATTTAGGCACTTGCAGTCAGCCTTGCTGCTCCCTGTGTCATGATATCTTGACCCTCGCTGTCCCTGAAGAGCCCCCTCTGGCATTAAAGCTCATCTTGACTCAGGAGTATAGGCCCTAATGGGGCTGAGCCAAGCAATAAGGAGGATAAGACCCCAGAAAGGATTTCAGTTCCAAAGAAGGGTCAATAGACACATTCTCTTTCCATTTCCTGTTTCTCTCTCTGGCTAGCACAGTTCTTAAGTAAACACTAATGTCAGACCTACAATTATCTTTCTATAAGCAACCAGAGGTGCATTTCGGAAGATGCACACTATACTCATAACAACAGCTGCCATTAGCACCCTAAGATAGGTATTTCATTCCCATTTTATAGAAGGAGAAGTTATACACCTTGCTCAAGATTACACACTAGAATTCCAGGTGCCTCTGATTCTAAAACTCACACTCCCGATCATGAAGCTTTATCCAGAGTTTGGCCCCAGTGTACAAGAGTGTCTGGAATTGGACATGTTGGTCCCTAGTCTCTGGAGGCTCGAGCAGCAGTCAGGGCCAGAAGTGCACCCAGGAGTCTTCCCTGGTTTTGATACCCTGCTCCTCAACCATGGGGACAAGTCGGGCAGACATTTTAGCAATCTTGATCCTGCACCAAGCCCAGTCTCATGCCAGGTCTCAAAGCCTTTCATTCATCATCCTCTATGAGGAATTAAATCATTGGGGTTGATTTATGAAAAGGCAGGAGCCTTTGCCAACAGAGCCCATGCTGCTCCGTATGTCATGATATCTTGCCCCTCCCTGTCCCTGAAGAGTCTCCCTCTGGGATTAAAACTCATCTTGAATCTTAGACGCTCACCAACTCATTGTAGATTTAAGCACATGCCCTCCTGACCTCTAGGATTGGGTGTTTTTTCTTCTTAATCTTTAAGGAGGCGTATCTCC